AACATTATTTAAGGATAAATTCACTATTTTTTTAAATCTGAATCAAATTTCTTTACTTTAATGACAATACACAGCATCAAAAACAAAATGTTTTCTTGCGTGTGAAAGGGAATTGAAATTCTGTCAAATCGACACGGAGCATGCCATGTTTTATCAAGTAGGTCAGATTTTCTACTGAGGTGAATTCTATGTGGTGTTCCTAACACTAGTTACAAAATCAATATTTCTGTTCCCTGTTAATATAGAGAATGTAGTTTTGGATCAGGGAACATTACGTGATTTTGTGGTTATATCTTAAAGATGGGTTCCCGCATACAAACTGGGTGATTTAATGGTATATAGATATGGACTAAAAACATATTCAAACTAATTAATTTGTTATACTGTAACTTTGCTTCAAATCCTTCTCAAACATTGTAATTGCGAAGGAATTTCCTGCTATAAAAATTCAATCAAACCACGTGATGTTTACGTCACGTGGCTTACCTCTCTTGGAAGTCAGAGGAGAATTCATTGTAAGACGATGTTGTCTTTAATCGCTTACTATTTATTACAAATTTTGAATCTAAATTAAATTCTCGGATTATCCCGTACCCGCGTCTTTTTCCGTCATTTTTATCTCAGAAAGTGTTGTACGTCTAACTCTTCATAAAGTTTATCAACTTGTACATCAAGCACTCAATGTTCGCGTGTGACCATCGACATCACGCGTGCAGAAATTCCTAATCGTTGGGCTGTTGATTAGGGGAACCCTTACATTTTTGTCCTGTATACGCTCCATGAGTGTTTTTCGGGGAATCCAGTATTTTTCTAGTAAGATTATCTCTACTTTCCATATATACCAAAATTACCATACTTTTATTGGAAATAACCACCCGATAAATACTTTTTTGGGAACCCATCTTTGAAACCATTTAAAAGTATTTTAAGTCGTGTACTACATTAAAGGAGAAAACACAGATATATATTTCAGTGTGAAAAAAAGCTGATTCATTTTCAAAGAAATACCACTGGAGACAAGCTTCTCGACTAACAAAATAAAATGGGGTTTAACATCCTACTTTTGGGCTAATAACTACAGGCATACACCATGCACAGTATGCTATGAAGTAATTATTACCAGGATAGCGGTGGTACGACGTACTCTCATTTCGAATTCCAACTGTCAAGGGTTCTTTTATTTGAATGCTAATGTGTACCTAGGTTTTACGTCCTATTCGAACGAATATAGTGGCCCTGCTTCTAAACTAACAATCCCCATGTATCTGTATAAACCTTTGTATAACTCAGATGAATGCTGTTGTTTTTTCAGTAAGTAATAGATGAAGATTAATGGCCACACCATAATTACCTAGTTGCAAAGTTAACACTACATGTATGGAATAGCTGCATTTAAATACATGTACTGATGATAGGCTATTTTTGCTCAATTTGGCATTCTACATGTATATTTAAAGCAGTACTTTTGGAGAACCTACAGAATTCTGCAAAAAAAAAGAATTGATCAAACTATATCTCTTAATTCTACCATGCCAATTTATGAGAAAGCTTATAACAACCATATTATTTTCTTAATTAAAATAGCTCCACTATGGCACTAATTCAAAAGTGCTTTATGGGAAATATTATATTTCCTTTTAACCTTTTAGAAGACTATTCTCCCCTTTAATTTTCTAAAATGATATGGTGTTTGGTGCAAAGGGCTGTAAATGATATGAACTGTTAAAGACAATGTTATTTTGTACAACTGACAATGGTAGAAGATTAATGTCCGGCTTAGGACTTGATAAATCGGTCAATGGAAGGGCTTGAGTGAAAATCAATAACTGCTGGACATCACTGTGTTATTCAATGTAGGGTATTTAGAAACAAAGACATTCATTGATAGCCTTAAAATAGACTGACTGACACTTCATGTCCGATATTAATTACATCAGTTGAAGTATGATGTAAGCTTACGGCATGTATTCAAGTACAAGGCAGGACTAAAACATTTTAAATGAAATCTAATTTGGCCTAAATTTGCGAAGGGCTGGTCTGTGTGTCTAACTTCTGTTACTGGAATAAGCATATTATATATTTTGATACTTAAAATTCATAACATTCAGGCACATATAGGCAAATAAAATGAGGGTGACAAAAAAAGATTTAAGACCCCTTTTCTGCATTTTCAAGTCTGTGATAAAAGTTTAATTTGAGAACAAATTGCCTGAAGTCATTTCTGTAGTGTTTGTGAGTTTGTTTTGTTTTTTTTTGGTCTTATACAATAACAAATCTAGACTCCCATTTTATAATCCAAATCGAGCATAAATGTTATCATGTGTTGCAATCAATGAATCTTTTTACACTGTGTTGTAAACAAATGGGTGTCAGTGTGGCTCAGCAGGTAAAGGTGAAGGCTCACGATCTTGGAATTGGTCGTGAAAGTACCCCAGAATTTTCCGACTGGGCTTCCCCTAGTCAGTAGAGCAAGATAGACTGTCTGGTGAGAAAGTGTCTAATCAAACAGATGGCACAAAAAAATGTGGACCCATGTACACATTAGCTTTCTTAAAAGAATGCTTTATAGTTTGAAACTGATTCAAACTGTAGGCCCCATTTGATTTCAAATAAATGGACTTTTGGAGTCAAATTAGATATGATTCCTTTAGCAAGAATCTTGGAATGATGTCTAAAAGAGGTCATAATCGAAAAACAAGAAAAGGATAATTCGCTTTTGGGTGTTTCAATTTGAAATTTAAAGACAGAACAGTATTAAAATAAATCCTGTTCATGGTTACCCTAGCTTAGTCTACAGTTCACTTGTGGGTGCTTCAATTTGAAATTACCCTGGGTTACCCTAATTACAGTATTACAAGGGATTCCTGTGAAATGCTTACAAAGACTTGATGGGAATCTATTAAAGTTAAAGGGACACCATGACATTTGAAATTTAATTATGATGATGTTTTTTTTTTTAATTTTTATAGATAACAAATAAAGATTGAGCTAAATAGTCTCAACATCTCAAATGTCAGTAGATAATTAACAAAGAAGGGTTGAAGGTTAAAAACTTTGCATTGACACTGGTTTCATGACCGAGTGTTGTTTTACCAGGCTCATCCACAAGGTCAAACACCTCAATCAATCAAATAATTGTCAGGTATCATTGTATAAAACTGCAGTTCTCTTGGCAACTACTGAACCTATTGACTTCATTTAAATTTTGATATTCATTACCAATTGTGTATCACCCAGTTTTAGTTACAGAAATCAACTTAAGTTACATAAAGTCCCTTTATAGATATCAACTCTGATGTGGTTTAGAAACTAATCAATTTGTTACTTTTAATTCAGTAGCTGTGCTTTCAAAATTCTCCACCTTGAATCTTAGAAAACAAAAGGGCTTTAGATCTCTGGTACATGTACATATGAACTGACAATTTATACACCAGACAAATCACTGAACATTCATTTATGTCAAGATCAATTGAAAAGTGGGTCATTAAAACACTATTCCATTTCATTTCATTTGTAATTCAGCACCTACATGTACATGTTTCAGTTCGCAATTTCAAAACAAATTTCATTTATTTATATGACAACAGAAGAACGATATCTGTGATAGTGTAATGAAAGTTTGAGGAAAGATAAACATGTACATGTAGTGATTACTTGAACAGAGGGCAGATCTCCCTTATGAAATTTTGAGGAAAAACTAGTTGGTTGTTATACAATGACATGTCAATGGCCTTTATCTAAGGTTGTGTAACTTCTTTTCTCTACAAGAATTTAAATGTTTGACAATCGGTTCACCTGAACTCCTTTCTCCGCACCGACAACCAACATGGCTAATGAAAATGAGAACTCATCGAGTCATTGCAAAATCAATGAGTTATATTTCTAATATCACTATATTATTATCAGTCTTCATCTGTGATTTTTTTTATTTTTTAAAAATAAGGACAACCATGAAATAGCCTATTTAACATCTGTCATACAATTAATCTTACTTGTTCAACAAGCTATTGAAATACATAACAATAAAATAAGCTTTATTAGTAATAACCTTGTTATAACCATAGATATATAGATTGGCAAAAGATCAAAATTATTTGGCTAGGTAATGGTCATTATAATAAACCAATGGGCAAAGTAAGCAAAAAATATCTGGAGTTCTCAGACAAAATTGTGCTTGCATAATCCATATTTTTAACTTGTGTGTCATTTCGTTCTGTTGGCAGATAAGGCGGGCTATTCGCACAACTGTGACGAACAATGTCAGTCGTAGCCTGCTGTACAAGTTCTTATTTGGGTCGTGAAATAGTTTTGTTGTCCTAGTTAACAGTTTGGTTTAACTCTTAATCAAACTGCTATCCACACAATAAATAACCCCGGTGCAGTCGATGTGCGCCATTCTGAATAGTTAATTAAACCACTCGTTCCGAAGTTTGGGGTCGTCTATCGCGACACAATGTACACTACAATGACAAAAGACTCGAAAAGCGTCCAGAAACCGTGTTTTGATAAACCTATAAACACTTCATCAACATGTAATCTTTGATAATCGGATGTTAAATGGATTAATAAAGGTGTAAACTTGAGGATATGTCTTGAAACAATAGAGACGCAATTCAAAATGTCATTAAAATCGGTTGAAAACCGAGGCGCATATTATTATTGACAAAATGTCAATCAGCCTCCATGTTACTAAAAATAGAACTGACCTTCATAGCGTCAGCTGACTTTCAGCAGGAATTTTTCAAGATTTATGCAGAAATCCAAATGAAATATGCATGGAAATTATAAGCATAGGTGTTTAAAAAATCTTAGTGGTATCGTGTGATGAAAAATGTGCTAAAATTTTCATTTTCTACGTTCTAAATTAATTTGACAGTTGAGCTGTGCGCATTCGATTTACATAAAAAGGTGGCCATTGGCGCTTTGTAAAAATATCAACACCAGTACTTGGTTTAAATCTGCAATTTCTCGTAATCCGACGTAAACAAATTTATACTTACTTGATACTCTTCTTGTGTCTGTAATTAATTAACGATTCTATGTGTTGATTAACTTCAGGCGTTTCTTGATTTGCAGAAATAAGTTTTATTTACGGAGCTGTCAAGATCAGCTGTATACACTTTCAACCCAACAAGTCGTCAATCTGTGACGTCATTTCTTTGTTTACGTTCATTTGGATGGTTTTCATTGGCTGTTGCCTGGCAGCTTAGGGTCTATAAATAGAAATTATATTAATATTCAATGAGCGTCGTCCCATATATGGATATCACAGCGCGTGGCTATGTTTATGTCACGTGCTCTGCAGCTGATATTTTGACAGTACACCAGTGATGTGTGCATGGGGGAAACGACCTGTTAACCAAGATTCTAAAGCTTTACTAGACAAATAGTATTGATTTTTTGGACCAGTTATTCTGGACTATGTTTTTAAACGTCGAATTTTTCCAAGAGAAATCAGGTCAAGCAGGGGCGACGACTCATTATAACGACCCAGAAATTTACGTAACGTTACCTTCATGGCAGGTTTTCAAGATAAAATCCCATATTTTCAGACATGTTGCCCTACCACATATTTTGCTGATGTAAGCTAGAACTCATCATGGTTATATACCTATCGCTAACATTTACAAATATAGATACTAACTATATACAAATATATGGCCTATGTAATCAATGACTTTGAGACGTGATCAGATACTTGGAAAAATTCCTTCGCCAATCAATAAATTAGTGATTAGATAATTCTTCAGTGCTTAATCTGAATATGAGTTTCAAAAAATAAATAAATAAAATAAATAAATAAATAAATAAATAAATCACCAGGTCTATTACGTTTAAATTTATCGAAAGAGTTTGTAATTGCGCATTTTCTTTTCTGGTATTATAGCTAGCCATATATGTATAATGCCGATCACAAACAACAGCGTCATAGATAAACAAAAAGTTGTTTATCTTTTAACAGAAAACAGGTTATATTTACATAATTTTATATTTGTGGTTCTTTCAGGTGAACCGTGACAAAAATAATAAACACGTACTGTATGATCCTTCCGCAGTTGAAGGCTCTTCTTTTGGATGAACTTTGTTTATGTTGTATAAAGCCCACATTAATTAAAATATATACCATAGCCATATCTTTTCTATATGCTATATATGTTCTACTGACCTAGAGCCTGGTGAAATCATGGACTTTTTATAGGGTCAATGGTAAAATTAACACCAAAACTAAAAATTAATTTATCGTTCCACCCGACGTACATGCACCTACAGGTCATCAATTAATAAAGTTGGCTGTCAATAATACCATGTCAAGGTCATATAAATTTATTTTACACTCAGTAACATGCGTTCATCTTAGCATACATTTTGCTAGTCCAATGACGTAACAGGAAAAAGCTTGTTTACAGAGTTTCATAAGAAATTGTGTTGAGCGCTTCGCAAGCTTAGCACTATGTATTATTTTTTACCTTTACATGTTGTATACTGACATAAAAGGGCGTTACCATGCAATTCAGTTCTATTCTATTCTGTTCTATTTAAACAATGTCAAGATATTTCACACGTTTACGTTGATATATTTTGATATTGTGAAAATTAATAAGGTCAGTTTCTTTATAAAGAAATAATAATGTCTGTGTGATGTGTGTTAAGTGTGTGTGTGTGTGGGGGGGGGGGGGCATTGAATTTACCATGACCGTGCCAGTGTCTTATTCTGTATTTGGTAATTTGGACACTACATGTACAGCGTATTTCCGTTTATGAGTACATATACGCGTAGATAATGCTTATATTAGGATATGTTACCACGGCACCGCCATTCCCTATACATGTCGATCGCCTATTATATATCCATATGTTTTAACTTAGTTATCGCAAATCAATTGGCTATACGTGTATATAGGCCAAGTCCTATATAATTACTGTCAGCAGCAATATTAAATTCTATCCCCAGGCTATGGTGGCTGATCAATATACACTCACTATGAAAGTTAGAATTAATTAGAGGTTCTGTATAATAATATTCCAGACTCACATTTACATATATTGAACCTGCATAATATGGAAATTGCAACTTATGTCTATTAGCTTTGATTGCTTAATGACTGCAGTGATCTAGGAACACTATTTATAGCCATTTTGTTTTTTAAATCCGTTGTTTCACGTTACTTGTATCCGGTTATTGTAGAATATAATTGATATGAATAATTATACACGCCATTTTGAGTCTATCAAATGGCTTTGGGAGTTGCAATAACATTTGTATTATTGATTGGGTCGGGCAATGAAATGGGGTTTAACGTCCTACTTTTCCAATGAAGACGGGAATACGCCATGCATAGTAGTATGAGGGACATTAGCCCAATTGTCAGGGGTTCTTTTACGTGCATGTCAATATGTATAGGAGACCTCTGTTTTCCCCCATCCGAAGGACTAGATGTTGTTTTAACAAAGTTCCTCCCTCCGACCTGCACCACCGACAAAGGGAAACAGCACTGGGAAATCCCACGAAACTTTATCGGCCATCATCGGACCGAGACCTCGTACTTATAGTGATCCAGCGTCTTACTCAATGAAACACGACAGCACCTGGAAGAAATTGTATGCAAACATCTGAGAGAAGGATTATATCTTGTTACTCAGTGAACAACAATTTTTGTGTATTTTGGGTTCGGGCCCGAATTTCAGAAGTTGAAGTCAAGGTAGAAGAATACCCCGGGGTAGAAAACAAATCTAGGTATAGTTTCCGGATTTTACAGATATTGGGTGTTTTTGACTGTAGTCAATGCATTGCTCTAAGGATAACTGTCTAGTCGTTCGGATGGGACGAAAACATCGGTTTCGTGTACACATTGGCATGCACGTAAAAGAACCCCTGGCAGTGCGGAATTCGATATAAGAGTAGGCCGTAGCGCCGCTGTCAGGGCACAATTTCCCTCATAGCACACTAGTAGTAGAGAGGGTAGTCTGGAGCAATTTTGGAATTCCAGACATTCCAAAGGTCTGACGTCACACATTCCTAAGGTCTGACGTCAGAGCATTCCACAGGTGTTCTATTTATAGGTTGAATATGGTTATTGTTGACTGAACAATGAGGTTATGAATAATAAAAAAGGTATGCAGGTGTTATATTCTTTGATCGTGTTTGACTTTTGTAACGAGGGTATGGGGTCCACGAATTGTTTATTGGAGGGTAGGGGGGGAAGATATTTCGCTTTATAGGCAGGTGTGTAGAGGTTACATTGAGTTCACGCCAAGTGTAGCTATACCTGTATTAAGGGACAATGACCTCCGCCATTAAGCTTGACAGGTGATTTTGTCGATTTTGTTCTAAGCCAATAGTTTTAATCTACATATTTGTGACAGGGTGTAGTTAAATTTTGGTTTTAAGTTTCGAAAATCTATGTATAAAAGGGGGTTGATTACACGTTCAAATGTAGAATTGTTTTATGAAGTTGAAAACAAGAGATTAACATCATGAGTATCGACCTGTATCGAAAGGATATTGGAAATGATTATTTGGTTGTAAAATGTATTTGGCAAGAAGATGTGTGTTATCACATCAGACTGTATGGTTACGGTTTTAAGAGTGATAGATATCCAACACCCAATGGTATCATGTTTTTCGAGCGGCAATGGCAGACATTGATGAACACGTCCTCAGAGATAGATGAGTATTTACAAAAAAACATTGTAAAGAAATCAGTGCCTATTGGTAATGACGTGTACGTAACGATCGACAACAAATACCCTGGAGTCAACATTCGTAAATTTTGGTGGTGTGAAGAGGAACGAATGCCAAAACCTACCCGAAAGGGTGTTCATTTAAACGTGAAACAATGGGAGGCATTGAAAGTTAGCTTCAAAGAGTTGTGTGAAAATAATTTTACGGGTGAGGAACCACCCCTAGGTGTAGTAGGCTTAGCAAAGGCGGAGACTTGTGTATAATTTCTGTCCAACGTATTTTTTATTGGGCGGTCTGTGCGAACCAATAATATAACGAGTTGTATATATATATATATAAATAGATGCCTAACTATTGAGTTATCATACGAAACAACATGGCTTCACCCAAGATATCAGATGTTTCAGTCGGTTTGACATTGAGTTTAGGGGACAATGATAATACAACCCCTGAAATATTACTGAAGGCTGGTTATTTAGGGTTGAAGCGTAAAATGGTTTTTAAGATGACATTAAAAGAATGGAGTCGGGTTGTTGATCGTTTCAAAAGATATTTATCCTGTACAAAACCTACCAAATTTGCCATCAACAGTGAGTTAAGCTGTGAACTGGGAACCGCCCGCCAAATGGTTCTGGAGAGAAAAAATGGTAGACAATTGGTGATACCCGAAAAAACCTTTTCCGACCTAACAGGCGTGTCTCGAGTTACAAGATCGTTCAAGCGCGGCCGTTATCATGTGTATGGTTGTTCGCCTGCCAAGTCGGGTCTCGGGGTAAAGGATTGGAGTTTGTTAAAATCTGGACAGGCGTGGCACAATACTCCAGAGGATTGTGTTTCTGCAGCAAACAATGAAGGATGGGACCAGCCTGATTGCTACAGCACGGAAGTACGCGTAGAAGGGGTCTACGCCGAAAATCAACTCATTTTCCACGAGGATCTTGTAGATGCGGAGGAACACGTTACACACCTCGTACCGTGCACCATGTGCTCAAAACCTATGCATGTCAATGACGATCATTACTGTCCTGCCGAAAATATACGTACGTTAGTTGTGCAAATATTGGGAGACATGCTCAACACGGAGATTTCAAAAAGTGTAACCGGTCGCTGTGAAGGCTGTCTCAATGGTCGTGGAGGGCAGCTTGAACATACATGCCTGGGGATCAACTATTGGTTCGATGAAATCAACTTTGTGGACTTGTACTTCGAATCCTGTTTTCTAGAGTTGAACAAAGATCGTTTTTTACAGATAGCACGATTCGTCCCAGAGATTCGCGATCAGAGCGAAGAGTTGTTTCTACACGCAACGTTGTATTGGAAACCTCAAATCCTAGAATGTGTTCACACGTTGACTAAATAACTTTTTTTTTTTTTTTTTTTTTTATGATTATAATTTTCATTTTCTATATGTATTACATTTGTACTTTGATATAATAAAAGATTAAACATTT